CCAGGGATGTGCAGGCTGGGTAGGTTAGCCACAGGAAATATAGGGATAGGGATAGGGTAGGGGTGTGGGTTGCTTTTCGGAGGGGCAGTGTGGACTTGATGGGTCGAATGGCCTGTTTCCACACTGTAGGGATTCTATGAAAGAGATCTTCAGATGCCGAAGATCTGAAGCAGAAGCAGAGACTGCTACGCTAGCCTTCATAGGTTAGTACATTGACTACAGGAGCTGGGAAATCATGTTGCGGCTGTACAGGACACTTTTGGAATACTGTGTTCAATTCTGGTCTCCCTGCTATGGGAAAAATGTTGTCAAACTTGAAAGGGAGCAGAAAAGATTTACCACGATGTTGCCAGAGTTGGAGGGTTTGAGCTATAGGGAGAGGCTGAATAGGCTGGGGCTATTTTCCCCGGAGCGTCGGAGGCTGAGGGGTGACCTTATGGAGGTTTATAAAATCAGGAGGGGCATGGAGAGGGTGAATAGTAAAGGTCTTTTCCCTGGGATAGGGGAGTCCAAAACTAGAAGGTATAGGTTTAAGGTGGGAGGGGAGAGAATTAAAAGGGACCTAAGGAGCAACCTTTTTCATGCAGAGGGTGGTGCGTGTGTGGAACGAGCTGCCAGAGGACGTGGTGGAGACTGGTACAATTACAACATTTAGAAGGCATCGGGATGGGTACATGGATAGGAAGAGTTTAGAGGGAAATGGGCCAAATGCTGGCAAGTGGGACTCGAACAGTTTAGATAGAATTTGACCGAAGGGTCTGTTTCCGTGCTGTATAATATAACTTAGCAAGTTGGGCACCGAGAGAGAGAGAGAGAGAGAAACAGAAGTTAATATTTTGAGCCTGCTGAATTAGAGCAATGCAGGAGAGATCCGGCGAGGAAAGGGTTAACACACAATCTTTATTCTTCCAAAAGCACACACACACAGACACACGAACTTAAACATGGATTGAGCCGACTCCCAGGTTTGTGATGCAGCCAGAAGCTCCTCTTTCTCTACACAGCTGTGCCTCCCTGCCTGTAAGAGGGGCTCTGACCCTCTCTCACTTCTGCAGATTGTGTAGCTCAGGGGGAAGAGGGTATGGGGTCGGGGGCTGGGGAGGGGGGGTGGTGGTTGGGGAGACTGTGTGTGTGTGTCCTCCCTACCCCAGAGAGAGGGGGAGGGTTGGGGGAGAGGAAAGGCAGGAGGGAATAGGAGAGGGAGGTGGAGTATAGGCGAGCCTGAAAAGAATTGAAACCACCCAGAAGTCTGTCACTCAGCCCTTCCTGGAGTTTCGGGGCAATGAAAACTTGCCTTTTCCTCTCTTTGTGCAGAGAGACTCCCTGCGGATAGACTTACTCCCGGTCGCAGCTGATGTTAAACAGGTAAGAAAGAAGGAGAAAGGGAGAATCAGAATTAGGGATTTGTTTCTGTCCCCGGTTTCGTTCTGGGCCAATTTGTTTTAAGCCCTCCCCCATCCTCCAAATGTTGTACAAGAGCAAACAGATTGGAGAGTGAGTGAGAGAACTAACTAATCCTACATTCCGCACCCCACCCCGGCCCCAAACCGTCCTCCTCGGCTCTCCCCAACAAAACACCATCCTTCCCCGCCACCATCCCCGAGCAATCTCCTCTCCCTCTCGGTCCCCACCCCACTCCTCCCCAGCGACTCCAGGCACCCCACCCCCCCCACCCTCCCCCACACAAACCCCAAGGCTGCCTGCTCACAGCTTCACAGGAACTGAGAAAACCGGGCCAGAAGTAGGCCATTCGGCCCTTCGAGACTGCTACCCCCTGCCCGTTCAGTGACATCAAGGGCTTTTCATTCCAACTCAGTTCCTACTTCTTCTCCCCACCACCCCCCCCCAAATGCCCTGGAAGCTGTCTCCTAAAAGCCCTAACCCTGGAGGAAAGGAAGTTGAGGGGTGACCTTATTGAGCGTTATAAGATCACGAAGGGTATCGATAAGGCAGGGCTCTGTGCTCCAGGGTGGGGGAATTCCAAACTGCGGGGTTGGGGGGGGGACTTATTTTTAAGGTGGGAGGCGAAAGATTTAAGAAAGACACGAGGGACATCACGCACAGAGAGTGGTTCGTGTGTGGAATGAACTTCCTGAGGAAGTGGTGGATGTGGGCACAGTTATAACACTTAAAAAAAACACATAGATAAGTACATGAATAAGAAATGTTTGGAGAGATATAGGCCAGGAGCAGGCAGGTGGGACTGTTTTAGTTTGGGATTATGGTCAGCATAGACTGGTTGGATCGAAGGGTCTGTTTCTGTGCTGTATGACTCTATAACTAGATCTAATGCCTTCTTAAAAACATTCAATGTTTTAACCACTTTCTGTGGCAGAGAATTCCACAGGCTTCCCACTCTCTGGGTGACAACATTTCTCCTGTCTCAGTCCTACCCTGTATTCCTTAGACCGTGACCGTTCCCCCCCCCCCCCCCCCCGCCGAAGGTTCTGAACTGCCCAGTAATCAGGAACATCCTTTGTTTTTACCCTGTCTCGCCCTGTTAGAGGTTTATAGCTCTCGATGAGATTCCATCCCTGCGATATTCCAAACTCCAGTCATCCTAACGGATCCGGCCTGTCTCCGTCCCATCAGTCCGGCCATCCCGTCCCTCCGCAAAGGTTTGGCAGAACGGGTTCCCAGGATGGCTGGTCTCATGAGGAGGCGCTAAACGAATGCAGTTGTTGGGGGGAGGGCGTTGGGCCTCAAGCAGTCCGGGTGGGCCGAACGGCCAGGTCCCACTCCAAACATTTTGCGCTCAGGTTGGTGGTTGGCGAATATTCCTCACCTCGACCGGAACCCCGCGAGCAAAAACCACACCCCCCCACCCCCCAAAA